TATTTAAACCTCGGTTAGCCGTTTCTTCGCCCGCCTCCGCCCCCGCCGCCGCCGCCCCGCGCGCCGCCGGTCGCGAGATGCTCCACCGGCTTTTTCCTTCAATTCACGTTCGTATAATTTCACGGAATTAACTACAGAAACTCTCGCCAACACGTCCCTCCTCGCGAGAGGTTTGTTACCGTCGATCGATAAACGCCTTTTCCTTTTTCCCCTTCCATCCCCCACCCTGCTCTCCTTTTTTATTTTATTGTCTTATTTTAACGACCCCTTCGTGCTCCTGGGCGTGGACGGGCTGACATAATTTTCATGAATGCTTCGTCTGTGCCGGGACGCCGGGCAACCAAGGACTTCTTGTAACCGTGGAGTCGTTATGGAACCGGGGAAAATGGATACAAGGTCGGGAGTTGATATTCTGCTTACAGTATTTTCACTGTTACGCCACGCATAGTGAATCCGATTGTGCCGCGTTTCGTGCGTTCGCCATGGAGAGGAATTCAATTTATCCGCGATAAGACGGGAACAATAGTCTCCCGTTCAACGATGAAATATGTCCCTCCTTGGATCTAATAAAACCGATTAGTCCACCAGGACGACGCAAGTTTATCGGCTGGCACTTCTTTTTCCTCTCGTTACTCGCGGACCCGTTTTGTCGCTCGACACTGAACGTGAGGCCATTTTTAACGTTGACCCAGCCATCCACGGTCGATACACAAGAATCGAGCGATGCTCGCTCGACCGAGGAACGCCACTTACGTATTACAATCGAGTCAACCGATGATACATGGTTCTCTTTCGGTTTCGCATCAACGTTACAGCCTTTTGGCAGGCTGCCCATCTCCACGGGCTCCTATAAGTCTCCGCGAAGAGGACCGTAGCACCCCGAGACCTCCCCTCGCTCGGAAGACGTATAACTCCGAGCGTCCTGATTATGAACATAACTCGACCCGAAATTTTTCAACCACTCCGCCGAACTGCTATATAAATTATCCGCCCCGCGACCAACGCTTTCGGCTCTCGGTAACGTCGCACGCGAGTATCCGCGTTTTCTCGTCGTAGACCGGGTTCCTGTCAAGACCAACCTGTTGTGTCGATGTTGACTCGCTGCATACTTAATCGAGCACATTCCCTTGAAACACTGCTAGAGCCTTTTCAGCTCTTCCGGAACCGAGAACCCGGTGATTTCCATGAAAATTTCATTTCTATTTCATCGTCCGAGTTGTCGCTGTTACTTACCGGGCATCAAAATGTCATTGCACCCCGGGGGGGCTTTATTATACCGCCATTTCGATCTACGAGGGAATCGAACTATGCTCCGTTCGTAGTTTCATCGATTTCCAACTAGAATTCTCTTCAATCTCGATTTCACGCCCGCGCGGAACCTAATTAGCTCTGACAAAAGGCGAAAATTGAACCGAGGGGGAGATGGCTCTCGTGATCGAGGGTCTGTTGACATTTTATTATAGGAGAGCGCGCAGGAATTCATATGCAGGGAATGCGTGATTGAGAGACCGAGAGGTGGTTTGGGGAATCTTCTTTAGTTTCGAAGGCTCCGTCCGCGCTCCGGCCCGGAGGAACGTATAATATTCCGCGTCGCGATCTCTTTTCGCTCTTATCTCGCCTAATTCTATCATAAAAATTCCATTTCCTTAATCTATTCCGCCTATCTGCAGACGAACTCGCGTGTCGCCGAATATCTCTTCGGTTCATCTCTTTTCATCAGCGCGCTAGAGGATATATAACAATGCGCCCCGGAGAAGCCGGCGGAGCCGAGTCCTTGGATGAGCCATTATCCCGACGACACGGCGATACTTAGCTGCACCGGGAGGAGCTTTAAAAATAGCGGAAAATTGAATATCGTCGTAACAACCTGGACGTTTTATGAACGAGTTCGTAGGTGGTGCGTAACTCGGCTCGCTGGCAGGTATTTCCGGGAGCGACGTGAAAATACCTTGTCGAAGTGTCCGTCGTTCCGTCCGCCGCCCTCTCCTACCGATTGTCGTCCCTTAAAATGTTTCCCTGGCGGAGGTCGCGTTTGCAACACGGCACCGGATAACGCGCGCTCGCACATCGTAATAATCCGGCGCGACGTGAAACACGGCTTTTGTTGTGTTTTATAGCAAGGAAAATATTGTTCCCGGCCGGCCGGATGCTCGCCGGCTGTTCGGCGGAGGAAATTTTCGGTGCGCGCCGGCGAGAACGTTCCCCACGATCCGACGAAACCGCGGAACGGTAGATCGTCCAATAGAAAAGGAGTTCGCATCGCGCCGTAATTCTCGTCGTCCTTCCCCCCGCTTCCCTTTCAAACTGTTCACGAGTATTCGAGTAATGCACTAGGTACAGCGTGTCTTTGGCGGCGAACGGTTTCCGTAAAAGAGATGCTTTCGGCGCCGGAAAGGAGCGAGGAGGAATTCTTGGCAGCGCGCAAGGGATTCCGCTGAATACACAGATAATATTTGTCGGGCCGTTCATCCGTTAACTAGGCGAGCGGATTAATTCAATGTAATCAATGAACAGCTGACTGTATGTACATCGTGTTTAATTCTGAATAGGGTCCACCGTCGCGGGAGTTAATTAAACATGCTCGGTCAATATTGAATCGTCGAGCAATCATTTTTACATTCATTTTAATCAGTTTCAGCCGTTACTTGTTTCTCGTTTTAGCGGGAACCGCCGCGGAGTCGTTTCTGTTCGCGTAAAAATTGGGATCCATGCAAACAATTTTAAATATTAATTCAATTGTCCGCCCGTGGAATAGTTCCACTTTCCACGTTTCAAAAATTGCCCACCGGTAGGTCGATATATCGACAGCGGGAGCCTCCGAGCCTCTTTGTTCGAGATAAAACCGATTCCCAGGCACCGAGTCCGTACTAAAAAGTACTGGACGCTCGATGACCCCGCGTCAAATTAGTTTCGATTCACGTCCCTTAGTTATTCCCGCGGGGAAACAATGAATGAGTCGGCTACGCGGATCGATGTATCGGGCGTCGAATAAAGAGAGCAAATTGTTCGAATTAACAATTACACGCGACGGAAAAAATCGCGCGCGATCGTAGCGTTCGCTGCCATGTAATTTCAGCGCGGAACGCGCGTGATATCGCCCCGACTGGCGGATCGTCGATTTTTATGGACGTTCAGGCGTGCCATCGCGATTCATCGATTGCTGTTTGTTCCAGGTCCCTGCGTGAGCACGAACGGATCGGCGCGTACTCGAGGAACGACGTGTTATGAGGTGAGTAACTGTGCCGAAAGTTTAGCCGAAACTCATCGCAACCCCCGCCCCCCTTCACAGTGCCCGCGTGAAGTATCGTTTTATCGATAGAATCGGCTGCAACATCGATTTCGGAGCAGGGCAATTAACCCGCCGTTATTAGTTACCTGTAACAGGATCGCAGTAGATCGATTATTACACTTCCTTACGCGCTCTTGGCACAATGTTATTGTACCGGCAATTCCGAAGGAGTGTGCTTGGTTGACACGCAATTTGCAGAAGTCGATTAACACTAATCGGATTTAAAATTCTGCGTTAATATTGTCCGATTAATCGATTTTTCTATTTTCATCTGTCATTTCGTTTCTGTTTACTAAGAAAAATTTGTCGTCTAGTTTCTTTGTCTCTGCGTTGTAGCCAGTTATTTAATTAGTTACGATAGTAAAAGTGTCGGTTAGTGTTAAGAGAGTCATCTGCAAAGAATCGTGTACGAGTGCCGACGAATAGAATGTAAAAGTGCCAGGAATAGTCGCCTAATGGAAATTGGATTCACAGGAAATTATACTTCCATACTTACAATCGCGCAGATAAAAGTTACGAGTACATAATAATTAAAGTAATCAACTCGCCACGGCAATTACTATTTTCATCCGACTTGTTCTATCTTATCAGTGTCCGAGCGTTAACGTTCCGAATCGTATCTCGGTGACTGGTCAGGCTTCTCGGCGATATTTATCGACATATATTGATAAGCTTATCGGAGCCAACAGCTCTATCGGTGAACCGTGTTTGAGCAACGACGACACGATTTATCGATATAAGATACAACTTCAGGAGCAGGTTCCTCGGCGGTGCTTTCGTTTCCCAGCCCCGCGGAATAAATATTCCATTCGTGCACTCGACGGGACTCACTGTCAATTCGGTAGCCTCTCGAACAATATTTATTTAGCCGGTATCGATTTCGTTGGCATGATATTGGTTTCCCGTGTCGTCGTTTCTATTTTTCCTCCGGCCGTCTCTCTCTCTCCCTCGCCGCCCCCTTTTCGCCGTCGATCGCGAGCTAAACCTACGCCGCTCGTTTCCGGGTCGTTTCCATCGCTATTCCTTGCAGGCCGCTTTAAACATCGTCTCCACTCCCGGGGCGAGCTAATTTATAAACATTCGCGAGCCGCGGATCGGATCGAAGCGGCGCGGACATATTCACCGGGCCGAAGTAATTTCCCCTTTGACGATAAAAGAAATTACATTCGAGTGATATTTAACGAGCAAAGTGCTCCGCGGAAACTTCGCAAAAATCCGACACGCGAACTTCGGGATCTCGAACTTTAAACGAACCAAGTATTCCTAAGCGTCCGCCGAAACGCGCGTGCACCGAGCCGTTTGTGTTCCCGCCTGTAACGCGTTATTAAAGACGACTCGTTAGCGATCGCTCGCGGCGATGCAGGAACCGAATCGATAGTCAAAGGGACCCTTCGAACAGGATCCGTCCGCGAGACTTCGGTTACAATTATCAAAAGTAATCGCACGGCTCGCCGTTTCGATTTTAATGTCGGCGCGCGGTAAATTCGCCGCTATGGTCGTCGAGGAGTAATAACAACCTGTACCCTTCCGACGTGCCGGCTTTAATTAACAATATTAACGCTTCCGGGCTGCGGAGTCCCGTTGTACTTTCAGCCGTGTTGCGCTCGTCGCGACCGTAACGTTTTTTGCCGGCGATGGCGCGGAAACACGGCTGGCTCCCCCGGTTTCATTTCCACCGGGACCGTGTGCCAGCTCTCGAAGCGCCAGGCGTTAACCTTGAATCCTGCAGTCGCGAGGCGTTGTAACGAACCGCGCGCGCCGCATCGCTCCCCGATATCCGCTGAAATATCGGCGAAAATAATTCAGCCGTGCACCGGGATCGGTGTCGGCCGGCTCCCCCGTCACGGCCGAACCGGGTCGCCCTAATAACATGAATAATAGGTGTCACAGAGGATGGTCACGCAATCCTAATGGCTTTATCGACACGGCGTATCGCCGGGAAACAATGTCGGCATTCGGGGTGATTATAATCTCATAACGAAATACTGTCGTTCATCTTCGCTAATCACGATCCCGTGTTACCGTGTTTGAGGAACTCGCGTGAGGCGAGGCTGGTTTCGACAAATTGTTGGCAAACCTCTTCAATCGCAGCTGTTACCCGCGCGTGATGCCTTCGGACGTGTTGGCCAAGCTTTTCCCTTAGGGAAATGTTATTTTCCTATGTCCTTTAACACGTTCACGCCGGCGTGTACCGGTGATGCCTGACATTTTCATGTTATACGGAAGGTGTGTGCAATCAAACATCTAGCTGGTTGAACTGAATTGGTAGATAGGAAATATTGTCGTGTATAATTGGAAATTAATTTACTTATTGATCATTTTGATTAGCGGTAGATCAGCGGTAGATTACTGGCGTCGACGTGTTAAGCATGAAGATAGAGGATTGATGTTATGCAGATCTTAATGGCCGATTGTTATTCTAAAGCATAGGTAATTGGTTCTAAAGTGTTGATTCTCTGTAATGCTAATCTCGGTTCGCCAGATATAGAGGATACATTCCTAACAATTAGTATCTCGAACGTTACGAGCTCGCGCTTCGGCTTTCCGCGGTCGTTTGAAAATTTTCTTTACGAGGTGGTTCTTAGTATCGCCATTGCGAAGTCGCATCCCCGATACCTCGGCGCGATGAAGCAATACATTTGCATAACGATCGCCGCTTTGGTAACGCAAACTGCATCGTAAATAGTCCATCCCGCGCTGGCCCAGGCAACGCAGTTACGTCCGCGATGCATCGCCTATGTTAATGCCGCAATCTGCGAAACATTCCAGGAAATTAATCGACATTCTTCCGCGCTATGAACGTCATTTGTAGGCTCGCCCCGGGTATTTTTGTTCGGCCGAGAGACAGACGGTAATGATTTTATTGGGTGCTTAGAGGCGTTCACATCCTTATCAATGTTTCCAAACGTGTTTCATACTTGTCACTGAATCCAGCGAAGGCAGCCGACAACTTCTCGGTTAACCGGCGCGCGATGGATATTCGAGGAATGCCCGTATAATTAAACACCTGGCGTAATTGACTTTTACAACCACTTTTCCGCGAAATTAAAAGTCTAATAAAACGTAATACGCCGCGGCGTAATTAAAGCAGCACGCGAACCGCTCGACCGAATCTTATCAACGTCGCGGCCTGCCGGAGCACGTTTCCCCCGATCGGGAAACCGGTAATCTCGTCGGAAAGTCGAAAGCGCAGGATCGTAGACACTCCGCGGATCAGCGTAATATCTTGAATGCCCGATGGATGATGAACGAGCGAGGACCCGGCGCGTCGGCCGAGCGATTATTTACAGCCAATCAGTGGGAGAAACCTATCTGGCGGACAGACGCATAAACGCTCGTAGATCGCGCCGATTGACACCGGGGATAATCGAACTGACGAAGCAGGATTGATAGAAGGACAGCGTGACGTTCAACGGGATGGACGGCGAGGTAACCATGCGAGTTCCCGTGATTTCCTTCGCCAAATGGAATGTCTCCTACGCTGTTCCACGAAATCTTACCTTTTAAACGCGTTTAGTTCGACGACGAGTGTGTCCCTCGGAGAGACTGTCCTTAATAATTCCAGTGAAAACAGATCAATGAAAAATCTGACATTTAAATTTTAAATAAGGCGAGCGAGAACTGTAAACACTTGGAAGTACCGTAAAGCAGTCCCCGAAAGGCACTTTTTGGCTAAAATCATGCCACAACTGCATTACCTTTCGTTTGTAACGACTTTATAGTTTCAGAATTGAGTCTTTGGGAGAATACTATTACAAAAAGGTATAAATCGTCCTACCGATCAAATGACCGGTCGTGGTAGGTAAGAGAGACTACAAATTTTTCTCAGAAAAGAAACGGTAAAAAAAGGAGTTAATATCGAAAAATGTTTTATACATATATTTTAGAAGTCGTGAAGTATAAAGGCGACTCAATTACCTTGTCCACAGGAAATTCTAATCGAAATTTTAAAAACAATTCGACTGGTCGCGGTAGGAATAGCGTTAAAAATCATTGAACGAGGACAACTGCGATCGAGAACCAGTGATTCATAAACACGATCGTTGCGCGTACACAAAGATCAGTATACTGAACCGAGCACAACAGGGCCGTGAAATGATCCCAGACAAGAGGACCGGGCGCGAGCAACATACAACCGGAAACTCGCAACCAGTCGAGGATAATTAAGCGTGTAACCAAATAGGAGCTCTCGAGTTCGTCGACGTGTACATGGTCCCGATCTACGAGTAGGAGGAACTTGCGCGGAAGGAGTTGAAACGCGGCCTGTGTGCGTTCTGATTCGGATGCCCTCCTCGCTCCCCCCGGGCTAGTCACTTAGCTCGGACTAATCCGGATGTAATTTTAAATGGAACAGTTTCCGCGAGTTTAATAAAGCGACACGCGCGCGCGCGCGCACGCCGCGTCGACGGCGACAACTTCGAATTGCGTGGCCCTGCACTGCGATCCGGACTCCGGTGACCTGCCCGTCGCCATAATTCTCCCCGTTGTCCGCGTCTCTCCGCCCTTAAGGTTGATTCTCACTATACATCCTGGTAGCAACCCTCCAGTTGTCCGTCCATTCGCTGGCGAGCTTTTCACGGTGGCAACTGTGCTGTTCGGTAGGAATTCTCTCTAGAGGTCCTTTTAAAGGTACCTCAATAGAGGTAGCGATTTTACGACTTGAGCACTTGAATCGTTTCAGATGATGTACATTGATTTTTAACCCTAATCGTACCACGTGTTTTTAGAACGAATCGTACCACGATGTGACTCTCAGTCACTTAGGAGAACAAAAGGAATGATTAACCCTTTGAACTCGAGAGGTGACTCTCAGTCACCACATGATTCGATACAACACAACTATGAAGTTGAATATTTAATATTTCAAATTAAAGTTTGCATTGCTACGTGAAATATTTAAATAAAACACCTCTGTTGCTTAATTTATCCATGAATCGTTA